AAACTGTATCCCTTGTCCACTTTGGAGCGGGCTGTGATTGAGTGTTGTTCCGTTAGTCGATGTACATCAGAAAATGTAATTTTGGGTAAATTTACCAGGGATGCCGTATAAATAAACTTAGTGTAGTCCGTCATCAGTTCGCCAGAGTGATGGGTGATTCACCGGAAGTGGCAGTGCGCAAAGATCACTGAATGCAGAAGTACTACGTATCAGCGTGATAATCCCCTATTATATGAATAGGGTGGTCACTACTATTGCAGTTGTTCCCGGTCTCCATGTATCCCCTGTAAGCACCAAAAACGATCTCCTTTTTCCAAAGCGCTAGGGCGGTTGCGTTGGTTATTGTCACGTGACCTATGGTGCGCTTGCAGCATTCTGAAAAGTTAAGATGTTTTTATCTCGATGCGGCGTGGACGCACTTGGAAAAAACGAGCACGTCGCACCACGACCGCGTCACTTCCATTATGAGCGAGCACCTACATTTGAAATAACGAACTTGAGCGCGCAAAAGACGTGATATGTGAGCAGGCCCTAATGTTAGTATTGTTTTGTCACGAACGCGCTCTATCGCCCCAGTAACAAATGAGCGGAGCTAGAGGTAAACTCGGGACTGTAGCCTTCACCTTGCTAATGAATTGGAATTTTTTTTTTTTTGAGAAACAGTGACCTTTTCCAGTACGGGTAGGCTACGGTCTGTGGGTTCATTGTGCAAAAACAATTTGCCTTGTGCTATTACTTTCCCCTTATTCTAGCCTATTGTAATGCAATTATCTAACATTACTGTATATGCTGTTGAATACATTTGGTTCAGCTGTATTAAATTGCATTTATATATATAGATATATATATCGATTCCTCTAATAGTAATTCTGTATTCGTGTTCTGTGATATTTATTAATCAGGATGCATTTTTGGTTGGAATTCTATGAAATTTCACTACCTGGTCTCCCCTATTTATTGTCGCAGCTCTTTACAATACAGCGAACACCCATGATTGTAAACTATGCTTTTACTATCTAGTAATTGCTGACTCTATTACTCCAACTCTGAACGAACTCTCTGCTCCTCACCACGGTGCGTCTCAGGTGCTGCGGTAATCACTCCGCCCAAGAAGCAGTGCTTCGCCTTCTGAGAATATAGTTCCCAGTATTTATACGGTTAAAAGATGACTGTGTCTCATATGACCTTGTTATTTGTACACTCTGTGACTATACAAATCACAACATGTAAATAGGAAAATGTTTGCGTTATTTTGTCACTTATTGGGATTAGTATGCTAGCTGGAGCCATTTACTTCCAGTCTTTGTGCTAAGCTAGGCTAGCGGTGGGTGCGTCAGACAGAGTTACGGCACGGAGATGAAAAGGGTATGTATGGACTTATCTCACTCCGGTGAATAAGCTAAAGTCCCAAAAAGTCGGCGTGTTCCTTTAAAGCAACCTTTTGGCCATGTTATTTAAACGTTGTCAGAAGGTTGGGTACATTGTGCCAATGTTCTGTGTTTGCTGGGATACCCCTTCAGTAATAAAGGAAAAATTATGTATAAACAATATTTACAGAAAGAGGGCAAAACGAAAGCCACAATAAAAAGACGAAATGAGAAATTCAACGCATGGAACATGAGGGACAAAGTCAAAGTGAGGCTTGATATTGAGCCCAAGTGTAAATTCAGCAATTGTTGGAATTGTTTCTAAATGACTATTTGAGCAAAACATTTACACCTGAATAATCTCGAGTGATTGTATTTGTAAGTGTGATGATCATCTGCTAAATGAGCAACAACGACCACAATTCACTCCTTCAGTCAGTGAAGCTCCCACAGCCGTTCATGAGAGTTTAAATGCTGGGGAATATTCCCATCTTCCCACAGGAGAAGAAGCAGCAAGCAAGAGGAATTACTCCAGGAGAAACTACGGACATACTATTGTAAAGATGGAGATTAAGGAAGAACCCTGCAGAATAAAAGATGAAGATACAGAGGAACAAATAGGTTGGTGTTTTCCTTCATTCTCTTCAATGACTGATGAGGAACATTAAGATGAAAACTGACATATGACAATAACATCTAAAACTAGATCCTAGTAGACTAGTAGAAAATTGAGATTTTGAACAATGTTTGGTTTTGTTTCTCAAGTTTCCTTTTATTAAATTATGGGAATTCAATTTGTTTATTTTAGACCTGATGGAAGTGAATGAAGACAAACAGCATCAGTTTCAAAACCATCATTATTTCAAAAATGAACATGGAAATGCAGTTGTTTCAAAAACTGAAGAGAATTTCACACAGAAACAAGCTGGAAAATCTGGAGTCAAAGGATCTTTAACCTGTTCTGAGTGTGGAAAGAGTTTCATTCGCAAAGGACACCTAAATTATCACATGAGAATTCACACTGGAGAAAAACCGTTCACATGCTCTCAGTGTGGAAAGAGTTTCAGTCGCAAAAACACTCTCAATGTTCATTTATATTGTCACTCTGGAGTGAGATCATTCAGCTGTGATCAGTGTGATAAAACATTTGTTTTTAAATCAAGCTTAAGAGAACACCTTAAAGTTCATTCTTCTGTGAAGCCTCACGTTTGTTCTGTATGTGGAAAGAGTTTTTCACAACTTGTATATTTAAAAGTACATGAGCGTATTCATACTGGTGTGAGACCTTATATGTGCTTTGACTGTGGAAAGACCTTTATTATATCCAACAACTTAAAATCACACCAGAGAGTTCATACTGGAGAGAAACCGTACAAGTGTTCTTCATGTGGGAAGAGTTTCAGTCATTTATCTAATCTACAGAAACATAAGAAAAAGCATTGCCCGAAGGTCTCTAAGTGATCAAAGTTCAGATCCATAACTTGTAAATAAGCAAAAGATGGAATAACCTTTTAATACAGCAATTTATTGTAAAATAAGTACTGAAGTTTTTTTGACAAGGGGAACCGGTTTAAATGGTTGTGAACTGCATGGTAAGTGTTGCATGTGTTGTTCTTCCGACACCTGTATTGATCCTCTGTTGTGTTTCACATGTGCAGTAAACACTGAGTGTTACTGTATACAAGATGAACTGAACAGTAAAGCAACAATGTGAAAATACTCGTGTCAGTGTCATCGCTCAAGCAGTTATTACTACTATATTCATCCCATACTGGGACTGCTTTCACTGCCTTAACAATAACAAGGTTGAGGCAATGTGCATTGCAGTGGACGTAAAAAGCACGTTTAGCCTCCGCTTTGATCCTTTGATGCAACCCCACTGCATTTCTACCAGAAAGACTCTGGAGAATAATACTCTAACAATTAACCATTTATTAACAGCCTGGCAAACAATATTATGATATAAATCATTGCTTCGGTTGCTTGAGCGCCTCTACTGGCAGAAACCAAATTAAACTCTTTAACCCATATATAAAACAAACACGATAATCTATTGTAATCTTTTGTTATTGATATATAAACATTTTTGATTTGGAATAATTAAGTATTGATTTAGAAATTACATCTTATAGGGGACACAGCTGTTCACTTTCACCATAATAGATCATTTTGAGATTCAAACTTCAAATATCTGTTTGTTTATATTTACCCTCTGGACTCTGTGTTATTGATGTTGTTTATTTTAATATGAATCTTGACTTCATTTTCAAGTTAGATGTTACAAGTATTATTAATAAAAATGTGTGAGATATAAAAAGACTTGAAGATTTAAAAGTAACAAATAAAATGTTTTAAAGCAACACCAAGGAACTTTTCCTCTGCGGTCGCCCTACAGGTTGGAAGCGGAATTGTCCATTACCGTTGTCGTAAATAATTTAGCCTACCGCAGCCTACTGTCGCACGCTCGCTGTTTATCCAGCACCGGCTTTGGAATCAACAAGGGCCACAGACAATTTGAGGAAGTGGTGGGGGAAGTGACGTATGCCGTAAAGCAGTCGAATTTTGTAGTTCTTTTCGTGCTCCGGTTACTACCCAAAACCCGAAGTTACATAGTGCGAGTAAAAGCGATACAGACCACGTCAGGCTATGGCAGACGTGTCATTTAACCTATTGTAAGTCGATGTACCATCACAAGGGTCTTGGAAATATCTTATGAAGGTTCGAAAACTACATAGTGTTACTTTAACAGTTTATTTATTTATTTATTTATTTTTCAGCTTCACCAAAATAAAAAATGAAGCAAAGTCTTCAGGGTTGGGCTAGGCCAAAACAAACGATAAAGGTCGGTAACCAGAATCAGTCCAGGAAACATCCACAAATCCAGAGGAGCAAAGAAACGAATTACACTAAATATCAGACAAATCAAATGAAAAACTAAACAGTGCGAGTGAGGCTACATTAGTCACATTGGAAAATTAAGTTGTAGGTTGTGTTTGAATAATTATGTATCTTATTTAGCTGAGGTAAATTAAACGTAATAGGCTACTCACGTATCCTTGCTCGATGAAGAATGAGTACACATGTCGTCCAGTGGTTGTCAAGACAAGATAGGCACAACCTTAAGCAATGGCCCTGAACGGTGGTTTAATGTCAACATTGTGACAACGCTGCAACAGCCTTCACCACACAACGTAGTTAAAGCAACCTTTTGGCCATGTTGTTTAAACGTTGTTAGAAGGTTGGGTATATACGCTGTGCCAACGTTCTGTGTTTGCTGGGATACCCCTTCGGTAAAAAAGGAAAAATGATGTAAACAATATTTACAGAAAGAGGGCAAAACGAAAGACACAATAAAAAGACGAAATGAAAAATACAACGCATGGAACATGAGGGACAAAGTCAAAATGAGGCTTGATATTGAGCCCAAAGTGTAAATTCAGCAATCATGGAATTGTTTCTAATCGACTATTTGAGCAGAACATTTGCACCTGAATAATCTTGAGTGATAGTAAGTGTGATGATCATCTGCTAAATGAGCAACAACGACCACAATTCACTCCTTCAGTGAAGCTCCCACAGCCGTTCATGAGAGTTTAAATGCTGGGGAATATTCCCATCTTCCTACAGGAGAAGAAGAAGCAAGCAGAAGGAATTACTCCAGGAGAAACTACGGACATACTATTGTAAAGATGGAGATTAAGGAAGAACCCTGCAGAATAAAAGATGAAGATACAGAGGAACAAATAGGTTGGTGTTTTTCTTCATTCTCTTTAATCACTGATGAGGAACATTAAGATGAAAACTGACATATAAAAATAACTTCTAAAACTAGATCCTAGTAGAAAATTGAGATTTGAACAATGTTTATTTGTGTTTCTCAAGTATCCTTTTATTAAATTATGGGAATTCAATTTGTTTATTTTAGACCTGATGGAAGTGAATGAAGACAAACACGTTCAAAAACCTCATTATTTCACAAATGAAGATGGAAATGCAGTCGTTTCAAAGACTGAAGAGAATTTCACACGGAAACAAGCTGGAAAATCTGGAGTCGAAGGATCTTTCACCTGTTCTGAGTGTGGAAAGAGTTTCACATATAAATCAAAGCTGGACAAACACATGATGATTCACACTGGAGAAAGGCCTTATACATGCACTCAGTGTGGAAAGAGTTTCAGGTATAAAGGACACCTAAATGATCACATGAGAATTCACACTGGAGAAAAACCGTTCACTTGCTCTCAGTGTGGAAAGAGTTTCAGTCAAAAAAGTAATCTCAATGACCATTTGCACTCTCACTCTGGAGTGAGATCATTCAGCTGTGATCAGTGTGATAAAACATTTGTTTCTGAATCAAGCTTAAGAAAACACCTTAAAGTTCATTCTACTGTGAAGCCTCACTTTTGTTCTGTATGTGGAAAGAGTTTTTCACAACTTGGATCTTTAAAAGAGCATGAGCGTATTCATACTGGTGTGAGACCTTATGTGTGCTCTGACTGTGGAAAGACCTTCTCTACATCCAGCAACTTAAAATCACACCAGAGAGTTCACAATAGAGAGAAACCGTACAAGTGTTCACACTGTGGAAAGAGTTTCACTCTGTCAGGAAACCTGAAAGCTCATGAGAGCATTCATACTGGAGAGAAACCGCACCAGTGCTCTTCATGTGGGAGAAGTTTCACCATATTGTCTAATCTACAGCGACATAAGAAAAAGCATTGTCCGAATGTGTCTAAGTGATCAATGTTCAGATCCATGACTTGTAAATGATTTGATATTCAGATTAAGCAAAAAATGGAATTACCTTAAATAAAGTAATTTAATCTAAAATTAGTAGGAGAAAGGTTAATGTTTTTTTTATCGCATTGTAAGTGTTGCATGTGTTGTTCTTCCGACACCCGTATTGATCCTCTGTTGTGTTGCACATGCGCAGTAAACACTGAGTGTCTTATTTTAACGATCTGAAACGCAAGTATCAAGCATGAAGCGCAAGTAACTTTGTGGGCGGGTCGTGGGCGCTGTTGCTATTTTACCGGCGGGATAAATGACTCTTGCGCCCGATGCAAGTTTAAAAGGGGTTGATCTGAAATAGCTTCTGGTCTGAAATGTGTGGTTTGGGCGTAACGTGAAATAAACCAATCAGAGCGTCGTCCAACATACCCTTTAAGAGCAGGTTCGCATGTTGCATGGCGGATTGCTATTATAACGGCGGATTTACCAGGCGCACGTCCTTGTCAGATGTCCTTATATACCTATGTGTTCTGCCACTATTGGGCAAACAGGTCTGATCCGTCATTACTACAATTAGCCTAAAAGATTTGGGTAAATGTGTAAGCTAGATTTAGGCCTAGATTTTTTTACATCTTCATGGACACCACAATGATTTCCCTCATGTGTTAATATTTTTCCTTGTTATAATGTATGATTTGCAAAAATAAAAACTGCTGCATCTGTGTTGATGAGAGAATCAAAGTGTATGCGCGTTGTGCACCCGCTACATTATGGCCAAGCATGCGCGCTTAAAATAGCATTATGAACAACGCGCAACGCGCCACTGACTTTAGACTAGGTTTTTCTGGTCAGTGGCGGAATTGTTTTCTGGAACTGCAAAATAGCACTAGGGAATGTTTGCGCCGAAACACGCCTCCTTTTTGCGCCGACCCGCCCAGGGAGCGCAAGTTCATTTCCTAGTTCACCGACGTGCGTCTGTGGAGGGAAAAGCCCACTTTCTGAAGTTAAACAGTTTTTCTTACAGTAAAACACAACTTGGGGGCGCTCAAACACAAAACGGTCTTGCCGAGCACACAAACGTAACGGCGAAGATGATGCGCCAAGTAGCGTCTATTTTTTACAGTCTATGGTCTACACACCATGATATCCATAATAAAGGCTAGATGTCTCGTCCGCGCTGCTGGCCAATGGCCTTTATTATGGATATCTATGGTCTACACTGCCGGGAAGAAATAAGACGAGGAAGATGCAAGGCAAGATGAATGTAGAGCTGCTGGTCTCGTTGGTGTCGGAACATAAAGAACTATATGACAAACGCGACAGCGACTACAAAATAGGACTATTTCTGTTTTACATTAAGCGCCATCTGATGTTAGGGAATGAATGTGCATGTTCACTCGGCTCAACGTCAGCGAAAATCGCTTGGGTGTGAACACAAAAACGCGTTGAAAAACGCTGACGAATAACGCGCGCCGATATTCGTCCCGGTGTGTACGAGCCTTTATACAGTGCCTTCTTCCAATTGGAGTATCCTCCTTGTGATGTGAATGGTGTTTCAGGAGAATTAGGGAAGGAAAAGTGCAACAATATGCAGAATCTCTACTTTCTGAATATTCAGGCCATTTGTGCTGTGAATACTAACTCTCATTGAAGGCCCTCTTCCTGTCGCCCTGCGCAGTTCAAAGAAATACCATCATTTGTGGCTGTTTTGGCCCATCTGCAGACACTTGGATATATCTGTGAGGGTAAAAGAGATTCAGCTTTAAAAACTACCAGTGATACATGGTTGTTAATTTATATTAATGCTCAATTCATTATCAAAAAATGTTGCAACTACATCTGTGTCAAATCTTAAAAATGCTGATTGTAGGTAATGCTCAGGCTTGGTGGATACTGTGGGGTTGCGGGGCTCTTTGTCCGCAAGACCCACAGTAAAAGTTGAGCTGTTTAACAAAAGGGCATAGTCAAGGTATTGGGTCAGGGAAAAAAGATTTTCTTCCCCCTGGCAATTGAGACCGCAGCGTTTAGTTTAGCCCAAAGTGGAAAATGTCCTTTAGAGTCCACCTTTAGAGTCAAGAAATTTTTTTTTTTTTAAATTCCACAAAATTTCTCCACATCCGTTTCCAGGGGACCATTTCCCTGGCGTAGATTTATGAGTGCAACTGCTGAGTTCATATTTGACGGTCAAGTTTTCTGTAAGGGATCCTCTGGCTGCAAGTGTAGATGAGAATCCAAGTGCAGTTTATTTATTCAGCACAAACTCTGCTACAATAATATGTGAGCAAAGTGGATGTCCATATTTGTATTTTGTAGAATATAAAGATTATGAGAGGTTAGTAAATTGTGGGGGGAAATTTGGGGATAAAACACACACTGAATAGTTGTTCACAAGACTTTTGAGTTATCAATCTTGTAGTCTAGAAATTTTACAACAAAATAGTGACAAGATCAAACATAAAACAAAAGCTTGGCATGGCATGAACTTAGAACAACACATAAACATGAAGCATACCCAAACAGTGGTTACAGTGGAACAAAACTTGACAAAGACACTTGGCAAACATGAGAGCTTAAATACACATAAGCCTTAGTCTTGTTGCCCAGGGCACAGGAAATTGTTAATCCGGCCCTGCGTAAGGCCAATTTATACTTCTGCATCGAGTGTACGCTGTAGTGTACATTGTAGGCTACACACGTAGGCGACGCCGTCGTGAGCATTTATACTTCTGCGTTGTGTCTGTGTTGCTCTGCAGTTACAGCACCGAAACGCTAGTTGATGGGGGAGGGTTTTAATTTGTGTTCAGATTCCTCGCGGCTGTTTTGAGTTTAGGCTACTACAAGCAATGGCGAATGGTTATATATGGTTAAATACTTCAAATGGTTGGAGCTTATCGCTCAGTCACTTGGTCCATTTCCATGTTTCTTCACTGAATTTTCACTGAACTTCTGAATTTAAAAATGGCAGGCGGTACAGAAGAACACGCTGGAAATGCGTAGGAGGAAACGCGATGCTACCAAACCGACCAATCACAGATCTTGTGGTCCACGTCATCGCGACGTGTAGTTACATTTTTGAGGAGGTGCATGTCAGGGTACGGGGAAGGGTACGGCGTATGGTACACGTCTGTGCGTATGCTACGCCTTCAGCGTACCCTGGCGTGCACCTCTCCAAAAATGTAACAACGCGTCAGTTCTACGCGGACGCAAGCGTTGTGATTGGTCTGCTAGAACCCCTCCCTCAGGTTTCACACGCTCCCTCTGCATATGTAATTCCGCGTCAACACGGACAACGACGCAAAAGTATAAATTAAAACCAACGCGTAGTCTATAGCGTAGAGGCTCCGGCGTAGGTCCGACGCAGAAGTATAAATCAGCCTTAAACATCAGGCCACTTACATACGGCAAAAGCTCTGCGTGGAGGAACATAAATCAATGAAGAAATAGACAGAGACAACAAAACAAAGCGAAAGAAAAGAAAGGACCTAAAGAGAGAGCGAAGGGAGCCATTGTCTTTTTTCTTGTTTTTTTAGATTTATTTTTATTGTTTCTAACACTGTTCTGTAGACTTGCTCTTTATTTGTTTATTTTATACTGTACAACCAGTAAAACATGTCCTCTTCTGTAGACATGGTTATTATTTATTTATTCATGTTGTACCAGTCCAATATGACTGTCAGTTGAAATAAACCTTATGTTGTAAGAAAACTAGTTTTATCTGTTATGAATCCATTTTGATGCGTTTTCCCATAACTTTTGTAATTTTACATATGTTTAAAATAAATTAATATCGATATCGCAATATTCATTATCAATATTTCAATATGTTGTAATGACTCCAAAACAAAATTAGGAACCTCTAAAATAGCAAAATGGGCATGCAGTAGCACCTCAATGCAGTACATAAGATCCACGGGGAGGAGTCGGATCAAGATCCAAGGGGTGGAGATGGGTAGGATTAGGGGTGGGTTTAGGGATTAGGGGTGGGTTTAGGGAACAGGGGGCGGAGATGGGTAGGTTTAGGTATATGTAAGGTGGGAGGAGTTGGATCTGGATCCGACTCCTCCCCGTGGATTTCATGTACTGCATTGAGAACCATCTCAAAATGGGGGCCACTTTAACAGAATGAAAGAAAACCCCAACCTATTTCTTCCTCTGTAACTTCATCTTTTATTCTACAGGGTTCTTCCTTAATCTCCATCTTTACAATAGTATGTCCGTAGTTTCTCCTGGAGTTATTCCTCCTGCTTGCTTCTTCTTCTCCTGTGGGAAGATGGGAATATTCCCCAGCATTTAAACTCTCATGAACGGCTGTGGGAGCTTCACTGACTGAAGGAGTGAATTGTGGTCGTTGTTGCTCATTTAGCAGATGATCATCACACTTACAATCACTCTTAAAATCCATGGTTTAAGTGTTATGCTCAAACAACTATTTAGAAACAATTCAACTCTTCATACTGATTTTTATGTTGCTCTTAAATTAGATTTGATTTACATGCATTAAAAACTGTTTACCAGGTTTAATTTGTTCATTAAACAAAATAGTATTAATTTCTGAGTGATTCACTAAATTAACTGACTGGTTTAGTCGTTTGGATTTAGATTTCTCCTAATAAATGATAAAATGATAACAGCAGATTTAGAGCAGAATGAACGGCTGTGTTCCACTTCTCAAGTTTATGTTCCCTTCCCTATATATATATAATTTTAGAAATAACATTTATTGGTTACACAGTTGATTGTACATAGCCGCCAAAGGAGTCTGCAATTGTTTTTGATGCTGATGATTTTAAAACACGCTTAAAGGGCTGTTGAGAACCAGAACTAAACTGACCTGAGCCTGAAGTTTACATGCTTCCCTATTATTGATATGCCTGGAGTAAAGGAATACGGGAAGAAATTTCTAATTCACTCATTGATTGTTTACTTGATCTCTTCAACTATGGAAGGCATTTTCTGCCAAAATTAAATAAATCAATTAAATGATAAAAATGAAAACTAAAACCAGATTAACCATTTCATTACAGAAAACTGTACGCAAAATATGTGACACAATTGAGAATTAAATTAAATGATTTCATTTTCATTTTCACGGTGA